CCACCCACCCTAAACATTAAACTGGTTAATCTTTAATCCCTCTGCAGCAAATTAAATCAGCTATCTAGGTGCTTACATTGCAAATAGTTTATCTTGGAAGAAAGACCAGGAAGTTTATAGTAAGTCCTCACTTAATGTTGTTGATAGGTTCTTAGAAACCTGAACTTTAAGTAAAATGATTTTTAAAAAACCAGTTTTACCATAGGCTAAATGATATAAATAAGAGTTAAGTTCCTATGGCATATTTCTGGTCTCAAAAACATTACCAAACTTCTAGATAAAGACTCAAAGCACTTCTAATATTAAACTTGGAAATACATGTGAGCTATACATACATTTAAGAAAGACTGATAAAAAACAAGTAAGATAATTATTTACCCAATTATTCCAGTGCAAGGCTGTGGGTGGCCGGAGCCTATCCTAGCATCTCAAGGCTCAAGGCTGAAACCAGTCCTGGGCAGGACGCCATCACACTGTAGAGCATGCTCACATGCACACTCACACTTGCTCAGACTGGGACCATGCAGACACACTGACTCACCTCACACACACACACATCTTTGGAACATGGGAAGAAACCAGAGGATGGGAGGAAACCCATGCAGACACATGGAAAACATGCAGACTCCACAAAGACAGTGGCCCTGGCCAAAAATCAATTATTTTTCTCAACATTACAACAAAACAACATGAATGAAATGACATTATTTGAGGACCTGTTGTATTATTCTAAGTTAAAGGCTGTATAAATACATTACTGAGATTTTCTAAGTAAAATACTTGGTTATATATGTTGTGTACATAGCATATATATGTATATATTCCATACTCAAGTAACTATGGCCGTGCCCTATTAAATACAACCCATAGCTTTGAGTCTCCCTTTGTGTGTTTCAGCAGACCCCAAACCACTTCTTGGGGAATGTTTTGGCCCAGCTCAAGCATCTTCCCTTGGCTCTTCTCCAAGCAGAGGACACAGGCTGGCCCACTCTTTTACTTATTTTTGTTATAGTCTTCAACTTCCATGACAGGATATTAATCCCACTGCCAGCTTGCCTGAATGTTAAAACAAATGGTTCTACATTTATCTCAACAGAATAACAGCCCTTTGGTTTCCTCTTAAACAGACTGCTATAAACTAGTTATTAAAATATCAGCTGACAGAAATTACAAATGTTAAAGATTGCCTGAGAGATATAAAGTTTATGATTTCCTCTATAGCCATAGCAGTAAGATCAGTATAGTTACAATACAGTGTATTGGCTTCCTGTAAAGTTTTGTTTTGACATTACAAGAAAAAAAGTTATGTAACCCACTGCTTTGTTTACTAAAAGGATGTTATATAATGCAACGTCCTCTTTATGAGACTTACGGGAAACAATATTCTGTAACCTCATTTTGTTTCTTCTGGGAATCACATTGGTTTTCTTATATGCATGGGATCATTAAATTCAGTTGTGTCTTACTCAATGCACTAGAAAATATAGACAAATTTGTGACCCACCTCATGCAAATAGATGGGTCCTCCTGGCATGAATTTTGTTCATTTGTGTTACTTTTGCTTCTGTCTTGCCTCTTCGGTTTACACTTCTCCTTTTCCCATTTCCCTCAACCACTCCTATCTGTCTATATGTTAAGCTACATAAGGTATTTCTGGAGGAACACGGGGTAATAATGCATGAATTTATTAACCTACCATTTTTGCTCTACTGTGCAACGCTTAGCAGTGATGAACTAGATGTTAAAGAGCATCAGTACTTTATTTATTTATTTTTTTTGAGACAGAGTCTCACTCTCTTG